AAGGCAGGAGAACAGGTCGTCTCAGCTTATAAGGCTTACCCTGGGACATAATAATAATAATCATAATAACAATAATAATAATGATAATAATAATAATGCGAGCGCGACGACAGAGGCCCAAAGCAACTTCACCCAGCTGTGGCAGTCGTTGCAAGAGGAGCCCCCCGGAGCCTGTGACGAGCTCCCGCCAACACGCAGTTTGTTTCTTTTGGGGCAACCCTAAACCCTAAACCCTAAACCCTAAACCCTAAACCCTGGGGTCGGAATAATTCCTCAAAGTCTTCCCCTTTGGGTCCCCTATGCAATTATACCAGAATAACCTCAAAACCCTATTCTAATGATTGAGGTCACTAAAAAAAGGTGACTTCTGCTACAGCCAGCCGTCCATGGAAGGCCCAAGAACATGGGGCGTCCTTGCGATTGTTGAGTCTCGCTAACCTTTTGGCGGTTTCCGAAATTTGGGGAGCTATATTTGGGGTCCCTTCTTTTCGTAAACTCCCTTTTCAGTCCGGCATGGACCGCTAGCAGTTTCACAGTTTTTTCTGTACCAGGACGGGTGAGCGGATTCAGAAAGACAGCAAGCATTGCCAAAACCTCTTATAGGATGTTTCCTATGGTGATGTCTAAGCCGAAGCTGTCTAAACCTGCATCCCTCCACGTGTAAAAAGACACGGCCGATTGTGCATATACAGGCTGAGACTTGAGGGCCTAAAGCCGACTTCGGCTTCTGTGTGTGGGGCTCTCGTCTCCAGGCAGAAATGTCGCATGCGCAGCCTCATCTTTGCAGCACCCGAAGAGTTGGGAAGAAGCTGCGAATGTTGACGTGCACCTGGCCGTTGCAGCAACAGCGAGCCAAAAAAAGAAGAGCACAGGTTCAGCTGCGAAGAGGGTGCGGAAAGACTCCAAGAGAAGGCTGTCTCTTTAGACGCACACACACACACACACACGGCTCAAACCTGCCCCCAAAAGGTCACACACAAGCTGCAATCCCCTTATACTGACCCATATCACCCCCCTTATACACACTTGATACCCCCCCTTGCACCCCCTGAAAACTCTCATCCCCCTTATTCCCCCTTATTCCCCCCCTGCCAGGTTTTTCAGCCGGGCCCATGCCGGGGCCGGCGATGCTACTTGGGTGCCTTTAAAAATTTGGTGCCGAGGCTTCGGGTCCTCAAGGCTTCGCTTTCTCGGGAATGAAAGGAGATCCACTCACTTCAAGAGCTTATAGGGTTTTAGAGGTTTTAGAGGTTTAAGGGTTTAAGAGGTTTAAGAGGTTTAAGGGTTTCAGGGTTTCAGGGTTTCAGGCTTTAAGGGTTTCAGGGTTTCAGGGTTTCAGGGTTTAAGGGTTTAAGGGTTTCAGGGTTTAAGGGTGTAAGGGTTTAAGGGTTTAGGGGTTGCTGTACGAAGATACCGGCTCATACCTTCGACTCACGCCGCGAAGACACTGTCTTCTCTGAGCCCCAGAACGAGAACTAAACCTGAAACCCTAAAACCTAAACCCTAAACCCTAAAACGACATACCCAGCACAGCCTCTCGATTCTCAAAGCAAACCACCTCGGCAAAAAAATCCGGGGCGAATGCACCGGAAGCCGCGCTCAGGGTTTAGAGTTTAGGGTTTAGGGTTTAGGGTTTAGGGTTTAGGGCTTTAAACTGAAAGAGAGCAATCCTCCAAGCCTGCTGCCCTCAGCAGCGCCCTTTCGTCCCAAAAGGCCCCTGGGCCCGAATCCCATCAACCCACGAGGGCTTTTAGGGGCTTTTAGGGCTTTTAGGGCTTTTCGGACTTTTAGGGCTTTAGGTCTTTTAGGGCTTTTAGGGGTTTTTAGGTCGTTCGGGCTCAGAAGCCTCGCACACGAGGGAAGAGAGCCCAACGCCCAACCAAGGCCAGGAGGCATGCCCGGGATGGGCATGCCAGGGCCAACCATCGAAGCCTTCGTGGAGGTGGAGCTGGAAGGAGTTGAGGGTTTAGGGTTTAGGGCTTCTGAAACCCTAAACCCAAGCTCAAAAATTGTGGTATGTTTTCGGCAGCCTGTCAAAGGTCCGTTGCTCGTCTGGAGTTGGGGTTCAGGGTTTACGGCTCTGTATGAAAAAAAGGGGTCCTGTGTTCAAGGTGACGGATTGGGGTGGACTTGGTGGATCTTGAAGTCCAGGGCTTGGAAAGCCGATCGAGGGGAGGAGGGTTCTGAAAAGAATGAGGGGAGTCCAGTATGAAGGCTACCAATAAGGGGACCCAAGTTTTGAGACAAGCTCCCAGATATTGCCGAAACTACTCCTTACCCTCCAGGATTCCCTTATGTTCCCTCTATGAATACACTACCAGAACCCCCAAAGACCCTATTCTAGTTATTATGGCCCCTATAGTACCTTGAGACAAAGAGTCACGAAAGGACCAGAGTTTCCACGCCCAGGTGTCTCCCGAGGTCGAGCCTCTCTTTCGCAAAGAGCAGGCCCCAAGACGGCATCTTCTTTTTGTTATTCAGAAATCTTGCTTTTTGTTTATTCCTTGTTTATTCTTCCTTACTCCTCCTTCCTCTTTCTTATTTGTTTACAACTTCTTCTGTCTTCTCCTTCCTTCTTGCTTCTTGCTTCTCCTTATTCCTTCTCCTCCTTCTTCTTCTTCTTATTCTTCTCATTCTCCTTCTTCTTCTTCTTGTTATTCTTCTTATTCTTCTTCTTCTTCTTCTTCTTCTTCTTCTTCTTCTTCTTCTTCTTCTTCTTCTTCTTCTTCTTCTTCTTCTTCTTCTTCTTCTTCTTCTTCTTCTTCTTCTTCTTCTTCTTCTTCTTCTTCTTCTTCTTCTTCTTCTTCTTCTTCGTGTTACTCTGTTCACGGACATGTTCATGTTTGTTCTCGGTGCAAACTCGGCAGGACGGCACGTGAGAGGCTCAGCATCCTGGCAGCCTCCTGTTGATTCTGAGCTCGGTAGGGTTTAGGGTTTAGGGTTTAGGGTTTAGGGTTTAGGGTTGCGTGGTTGGGTTTAAGAGGATCATATGGGGGTGTACGATATTGGGGGGGGGGGGGGGGGGGTACCTTTTTGCGGTCCCTCTTATAAGGAGATCCTACTATTTGGGAATCTTTTTCGGATGTCCCTTATGATCCTAAGCCACCACATTCAGGAATGTCTATATGCCGGGGTGTGACTCCTGCGCATGTTCCCCCTTATACTGGCAGTCCTGAATAGGTATGATAAAAGGGGGTACTACAATCCCTATCAAGGACTGTTAGTGCAAGGGGGGAACATCCCAAACCACGAGGCAAGAGCAGATTTCGTTTTTCGACCCTTGCTTGCTCCGAGGTTTAGCATGCAGGTTCCTCGCATCCGAGTGCGGCTCAGCACAACCTGCATGCCGGGAACCTGGCCGGAAAAACATCCTCCACTGGAAGATCCTAGGGTTTAGGGTTTAGGGTTTAGGGCTTAGGGCTTAGGGCTTAGGGTTTAGCAGGCTTAACATGGTGACAGATGCGGCAGATTTCATCACGCGAAGCAGGTGAGTCGCAGCATGAAGGTCCAAGCTGCCTCAGCCTCAAACCCTATAAACCCTAAACCCTAAACGACCCTAAACCCTCAGGCCGCAGCCGACTCCAGAACCAGGATTGTCTCCTTTCCGACCTTACGAGGCGCCCTTCTAAGGGAAGCCCGCAATAAGCTCTAGGGTTTAGGGTTTAGGGTTTAGGGTTTAGGGTTTAGGGTTTAGGGTTTAGGGTTTAGGGTTTAGGGTTAAGCACTGCCGCAGGCGTCGCTTGCATTACACCCTAAACAGCCATGTCAAGGAGTATACTACATAGGATATTTTGGGGAACAGAAGGTACCTCATTTTCTGATTCACTATCAAGAACTGGCAAGCAGACTCGTTGCAAAAAACAAGCCATGGGGCGGTTTGAGTGCATCCTATGTACAGTACATAGCAGATGGTCAGTTAGTTCTCTAAATTATGGTCCTGTTTTGGGTGCCCTAAATATTTAGGGCCGGCTTGTAACTGATCATGTATCTTGGGAAGTTCCCCCGTATACTAACAGTCCTTAATAGGGTTTTTAGTGCCCCCTATTCTAATCCTCATGAAGCACTGTTAGTATAAGGGGGAACATTTCAACATACAACCTATAAAGTAAATAATGGCTCACGACGGGGGTTTTGGGTTTGGGGTTTAGGGTTTGGGGTTTGGGGTTTGGGGTTTAGATTCTGCCTTGAGGAGTTCTTTGTCGACATGCCCGAGCTCGCTTGGGTCGTCTTCAACCCATGGACAGGCCGGGGATGGGGCCATGTTACCCTCATTCGGGATTTAGGGTTTAGGATTTAGGGTTTAGGGTTTAGGGTTTGCGTCTGGGGAACTCAGAATATGAAAGAGCAAGCTCGGTCGCGAGCGCAGCAGGCACACCTCCAGGTGGCACCATAACAGCCAACTCCTCAGGTCAACTGGGCTTGAGAAGACGTGCTCGCGGTTTGGGGGCGTCTTGTGATGCAAAACTTCGGGGGCGCATTTCAACAAGAGCTCAACTTCACTGAACGGATCACGACTATGGCAGCACCGAGCTACTGAGGCACAGACCCGCAAGCGCGGTGCTGTTCTGGAGGCACTGAGACCTACACCCTAAACTCTAAACCTTGAACCCTAAACCCTAAACCCTAGACCCTCGACCCTAAACCCTAAACCCTAGCCGTCAACGAGTTTTTGCTTCTGTTGGAGGGTCTCTCCCTATACATCAGCCGCAGGTGTCACAGCAGACGACCCTGCATGGGAAGCTGAAGGCAGCCTGCAGTGACCACAGTCGGTGCATGTGAAAGTGCCCAGAACCCCAGTCAGGGTTTAGGGTTTAGGGTTTAGGGTTTAGGGTTTAGGGTTTAGGGTTTAGGGTTTAGGGTTTAGGGTTTAGGGTTTAGGGTTTAGGGTTTAGGGTGATTGATGTCTTGTTTCTGTGGTCACCAGTTCCGGCTCAAGCAACGTTGGCGGGTACCCGCGCTATAGCTAGAAGACCAAGGGGCGACAATGCGCTGAGCGGCTCATGGAGAAGGTGCTGAGCCTGGTTGAGGGCCTCAATGCACGTGCTCAGGAGATTTTCGACCGCCTGGATGCCACATGCGATCACATGGACACCCGACTGTCGGGCTTGGAGGGCCGGCTCTCACATGCCGCCGAGCGAATCGAGCGTGCCCGTGGCAGCACAGCAGCCCTAAAGGTGCAGAGCGCTCGGACCTTCCAAGGGCGTGGCGAACCAAGCCTGCATGCAGCTCGGCGGGTGCTGGACGAGAACCTCCTCATCTCCCTGCACTCCGCAACACCCCTCCCTGAGCTCCCTGAGGACCGAGATCAGCCAGTGTCCGCCACAGCGGCAGCCGAAGACTTGGCTCGGGTGTACAAGTGTGTGAACCGCCACCGAAGCCTTGGGGCTCCTCAGGCAAGGGTCCAGGAGAAGCTACTGCCTGCCGATCGCTTAAGCTCCGTCTCCGAGCTCTTCCTCTTGAACTCCTCAGAGCAGCCTTACAAGGTAAGACACGAGGTGGACAACTTGGCGGAGCCTGAGGACGAGGCCTTCTACCACGGTCAGCGTGAGGGTCGCGAGGGGCCCAAAGCCTCGGTAGAGCAGGTGGATGACGTGGACTTGGAAGAGGACGAGCCGTTGAGGGAGCATGAAGACTTGCGCTTCCGACCGCGGCCCGCCGCAGAAGTGACCTTCGACCTACCAGACGTGCTGCCGGACCTTGGGCACGTAGCCCACATCGTCTGGCGCGAGGGCGAGCACTCCAGCGAGACCGCGCGGCCTGCATGGGATGCTCCTCCTCCTGAGCTGGGCCGCGCCTCTGTGGTTGCTCAGAAACCACGGCCACCCCCACCAGCACCCAGGCGCGCACCCCCAGCAGCACCAGTCAAGCCCATCATTGCACCCCAGCCGCTGCTCGCCCCCAGTGCGGCGCCTGCTGCCCCAAAGCCCCAGGTGCCCCAGGCAGCACCTCGCACTGCGCCTCCGTCGCAACCCACACCTGCACAGCCGGCACCGGCACAGACACCGCAGCCGTCCGCGACACCAGCTCCGGCGCCACCGAAGCCTGCTGCCAAAGGAAAGGGCCCAAAGGGCAAGGGCAAAGGAAAGGGACCGCCAGCGCCACCTCCACCGCCCGCGAAAAAAGCCCCGGCTGCTAAAGCACCAACACAGACAAAACAGGCGGCCGTGGGAAAATCAGCCATGTTCGCAGACATCCGTGCTGGTGCAAAGCTGCGCAAAGTCGCGCCACCGAAGGAACGCTCCGGCGCAGCAGTTGGCCGCGTCGTCTAGCCGCTCTAGCATCTATACCCAGACCCCTACAAAGATCCAACAAGTAGGACCCCCAATTAGTACCTCATATTACAATCTAGTCATTTTTAGGAACCGTCAAGGGCATCTATACCCTTTGGATCCTACCAGGGGTCTGGGTAGCCCTCTGCTTCAAGGACATGCCCTGCAGGGTTTGGTGTGTTTGCAAAGCGCACGTTCAACGGACGTTAGATTGCACTCTACGGCAGGGCTGGTCCTGGATGGTTTCCACCACTTGCTTTCGACTGCGGCAGCACACAAAAGGACAGCGTTGATGCCACGTGCTGTATCCCGAGCTTCCCCCCCATGAAGGTGTGTACAGCTTCATGCAGCGGCCTCCCCGAGCGCAAGGAACCTTCCACACCAGGCCGCAAGACACTGTAGCAATCCTGACAGGCGAATTCCCCCTATGGGACGTTGGTGGTGGAAGACCGCCAGGTGGGAGAGGGTGATGCGGGTGATTTCCTTCAGCTTTCTGTCGCAGCATGCGCACTTGGGCCTTTCAAGGTCAGCGCAATGACCGGCATGTCGCAGACGCTCCAGGAAGCCTTGCTGAACTACTCACTGAAGGCTGACACACATACAGGGTCGCTGCTTACAGTACCAAGCCCTTTGCTCAGCAACCTGCTCCCTTATAGGTTAGAAGCTACGTAACGGATCCCAGCCCATTAGGCCCAAAACCCGACAAACCCTTGTTTTCAAGCATTCACGGTTCCGAGGCGATTCTTTAGACCCAGGTTTGCCCCTCAACCCTTGAAAACCCCATGGGTTTTGGGTTTAAGGGTTTTGGGTTTATAGGGTTAGGGTTTGCAAACCCTACACCCCGAAACCCTAAACCCGCATCTTTTGCACCCTTCCGCGTGCTGCTTCGGAATCCCCAGAGGTGGAAGGCGCACTATCCGTTCCAGAGCTGCAAAGATCGTGTAAAATACTGGTAAAACACGATAATCATCATCAGAATACGAAGAAGACTAGTAGCAATAGAACAACTTTGTGATATGACCAATAATTAGTAAGTAGTATCATTCATACGACTACAGAATGCTAACAATAGCAGAATACTCCTGATAATACCCATAATACCTTGATGACGGAAAATGACAAAAAATCAGGAGACTGAGTTTTGTGCGTGTGCTCGCACCTGGCTTTATCATAGTTTAAGGGTACTAAAACCCAATAAGGAATGGAAATTTAGATGTGTAATAATATCTCAACCATGAACTAGCTAGGACCTAGAGCTCACGGAGCTTCAGCAAGGCACCTCTACATTACAAGGCACGATGTCAATCAAGACCGGCAGCACGCCCGAGTCTACCATCGGGGCCTTAAGAATCAGAATAGGTTTTTGGGGTGTTATTGTAGTATATAGATATGTAGTAAGGGAGCACTACTGCTAGCTATTCCACCCTAAACCCTAAACCCTAAACTCTAAACCCTAAACCCTAAACCCTATACTACTGTTTTGGGGGAAGGGCCGATGCCGAGGAGCAGTGTTCCTTGCCGTCTCTTTTTTGGCATGTACTTAGGACGTCCAGGGTTCAGGGTTCAGGGTTCAGGGTTTAGGGTTCAGGGTTCAGGGTTCAGGGTTCAGGGTTCAGGGTTCAGGGTTTAGGGTTCAGGGTTTAGGGTTTAGGGTTTAGGGTTTAGGGTTTAGGGTTTAGGGTTTAGGGTTTAGGGGGATCTTTTATTCGGTTGAAGAGGAACATCTTTACGAATGCGCTCCAGATGCCTTTAAGGGCCAACCGAGTAGCTCACCGGCCGAGAGTGCCAGCATCTAGGGCTTAGGGCTTAGGGTTTAGGGTTTAGGGTTTAGGGTTTAGGGTTTAGGGTTTAGGGTTTAGGGTTTAGGGTTTAGGGTTTAGGGCATCTGAGGTCAACAAAGGGGCTGGCAACTGCGGCTGGGGCCTCGGCGTACCCTTGATTGGACCAAGGGTCTCAGGTTGGGATGTTCCCCCTTATACCCCACAGTCCTTGAAAGCGATTATAGTACCCCCTATTCTCATCCCTAGTAAGGACTGTTAGTATAAGGGGGAACATCCCGAGTCTCAGGGCTGAAGGTGTTCCAAAACTGCCCCTAGCGCCGCGTACTTTGCGCGAACACCGCAACGGCTCGTTCGTGTTCAGGAAAGATGCAACCGCGGGTTTAAGGGTTTAGGGTTCAGGGCTCCCAGATGGAAAAAGGCTTTAGGCTTTAGGCCCCTCTTGTGCTGGCAGCCGTGCGCATCACCGGTGAGTCGCTGCTTGACGGAGCCTAACTTGCGTTTCGCAGGGAAATGTGGGAACCAGGGGGCTTTCGGCCATTCCTCCGAAAGGGTTTTTTTTCTAAAAACGATGTGAGGTACCTAGAAGTTACACAAGTTCCCTATGTTGGGCAAGTAAGCTTGAAGATCCTGAGCCCCAACCCCTCCTGGCTCGCCGACTGGAGGCTCGAACCGCTTGGAGGTGGACTTAGCCTTCTACTTCACGCGTCGGCCCGAGCTGTTCGCACGCGCAGATCCTCCTCATGCCATGGCCTGAACCCAAACCCGGGCCTGCTACCAGCAGGAACCCTATAGTAATATGCAAGAATATCATGTAGTAGCCTATAAGTAGAAGTAGTTGCAATGTAACAGAGTGATGATACAGTTGATGTCTTCAGTGCCGCCTCAGATGCACAGTCCTGCTGCGCCGTCTTCCAAGGGCCTCTGTCTCATCCGGGCTGAAGTGATTCGCCTGGTGAGAGTTTTTCAGCGTGGTTCTGCGGAAGCTTGCTGGGCTATGCTTATGGCACTGCATGGGTATGATTCTGTGATTTTGTTCGTCGCCTATTATATGATTATATTCATGTATTATACAGTACCATGACTGTATGTATATTGTTGCTTGGAAAGGTGATGTTTCAAGGTGGCCTATCCGCGACCTATCCGCTTAGCTTCTCTCAACTTCCGGTTGGCTGGAGCTTTCACGTTATCGACGTTCTGCTCCATGTTTTGCATTCTTAGCATATAGTTTCCGATACCTGAGGGGGATGTCGGCATTCCCAGGTCAAGAGAAAAGAGGCGCTGCATCGTGTTTTTTTGCGAAGCTGTGGCTATGCAAATCAAGGCTTCTTCTCTTGGCTTCTCCAGGCCATTGCGGGGTGCAAGCTTTGCAGGCGGAACGGGCAGGGGACGAGAGGAGCAAGCTCCAGGGTGAGCCTGACTGGACGGGAGGGACACTGCGGCACAGGACGGGAGGGATTTATGGGATGGCATGCAGGGACACTGCATGCGGGGTGCGGCAGAACACCACGAGACACTCAGCGACGGACCGCTGCGGGATGGGACCCACGGCATGGTGCTGGGGCACTGCGGGGTGCGAGCGGTATACACAAAGCGGGCGGGAGACTGCTGGGTGCGAGCTGTAGCAACCGAACCCCGGCAGGACACAGGAGGGTGCGAGCTTCTTCTTGGACTTCACAGGATGGGCACGGAGGGATGGAGCCCGCGCTGGCTGCGCAAGTCCGTGCACGGGATGGGCGCGGGAGGGACACTGGGACCCAACAAGGGGCCGGCGGACGGTTCAGGAGGGGTTTTCAGGGAGGTGGTCCCAGGTGGTCTCAAGGAAGGTCCCAGGCACCAGAAAACCCAAGATTGTGCATTTTTGGAGCGTCCGTCATAGGAGCGGGAGCCCCCATCCAAGCGATGGGGGGTCCCACAGGGCGGGGGAGGGGTGCGTGAAAATTTGGCACGGGGTTGGGAGACCGGATCAGTGTCTGCTTGTTCTCGGCAGGAAGCCGAGGCGAATATCACGACCGTGTCTGCGGCTGGAGTTGCCCAAACCCGAACACACGTTCGACATTTCGACATGCTCTGATTGAAGTGGGCTTGGTTTTCGGGGGTTCCCGGCTGGGCCTTGTTTGTTACTTTCAGGCACATTAGAGGGATGCATATGATCCTGCTGGCTGAGTGGCCCCTTGCAAGATACAAAATCCACAGAGATGGCAGTCACAAGGATGCCCCACATTGCACGCCTTCCGAAATCCCAAGCTCTGATTTTGCTTGGATTCCGTATCTTCATTATTTTTCATCCTAGGGAAGCCCTTCAGGTCCAAGCCATGCTGCGTGTTTGGCGCGTTTCCGGGCAAGAGCTGCTCGCGGCGCCGGGCAACACGTTCGAAGATGTGATCGGCTTGAAACGCCATTTGCGAAGCCAGCATGGCTTCCCGGTCTGCCTTCAACAGCTCTTACAGAATGGCCGCTGCTTAGAGGATGGCGCTTCTCTAGTTGGGCCCGTTGACCTGCAGCTGGTGCTGTTATCCGCCCTCGGCACGGAGCAGATGCCTGAGGCTACGCGCGAGTTTCTTGATGCTGCCGATACAGGCCATGTGCAAGTGGGCCGCGCTCTGCTGGCAGCTGGTCTCGACAAAAACTCGCACACCAGGCGGAACGGGTATGGCAGGACCGCTCTCATGCGCGCATCTTCTGAGGGCCACGTCGAGATTGTGCATTTGCTGCTGGACGCTGGTGCCGACAAGAACATCCAGGACGTGGCCGGCACGACCCCTCTCATGCACGCTTCTTCTGAGGGCCACGTCCAGATTGTACGTTTGTTGCTGGACGCTGGTGCCGACAAGAACATACAGAACGGGCGCGGGACCGCTCTCGTGCTCGCATCTTCCAAAGGCCACGTTGAGATTGTACGTTTGTTGCTGGACGCTGGTGCCGACAAGAACATACAGAACGGGTACGGCAGGACCGCTCTCATGCACGCATCTTCTGAGGGCCGCGTCGAGATTGTGCGTTTGCTGCTGGACGCTGGTGCCGACAAGAACTTACCGAGCGTGTCCGGCGAGACCGCTCTCGTGCTCGCATCTTCTGAGGGCCATGTCGAGATTGTACGTTCGTTGCTGGACGCTGGTGCCGACAAGAACATGCAGAACGGGTACGGCAGGACCGCTCTCACGCTCGCATCTTCTGCGGGCCACGTCGAGATTGTGCGTTTGCTGCTGGACGCTGGTGCCGACAAGAACTTACCGAGCGTGTCCGGCGAGACCGCTCTCATGCTCGCATCTTCTGAGGGCCATGTCGAGATTGTAGGTTTGCTGAGAGCCAAGTCGGCCAGAAAGGCCATGTGAAATCTTGCAGTGCCCATTCCAGCACAGCCCTAAACACCTGCAACAACTCTATGCTCACGTAAACCCCGAAACCAACTGTGAACAAACTCACAAACCCTAAACCCTATACTTATTACCCTGAACCCTATACTTATTACCCTATACTTATTACCCTGATAAAGGCCCCTATACAGCAGCCCTACTTTGGGCTGTAGCTGGGGATGGTTTAGGGTTTAGGGCTGAGGGTTTGTAGGGTAATCCCCTAACCTCATTTCGTGGTCCCGCAGAGTTGCTTACAGAGAGCATGCTAGAGCACCTTTTCTTTTCTTGTTGTTTTTCTTTTTTTTTTTTTGGGGGGGGGGGGGGGGGGGGGGGGGGGGGGGAGGGGGTCTAAACCCTAAACCCAGAAGCCCTACTTGAGCCCAAAGCAAGATGCATGTCCGATCGCCGCATCCTGAAATCAAAAAGCTTGAATGCACAAACGAGTTAGCAGAGAGCCGGCCAACTCAGCAGGGATGATCACGAGTGCCAAGCAGCGCAGCAAACAGCCAAGAGCACAAGAAGTTCAAACAACAATCAGAAGAATATGTAATATATATATATATATCCGAATACTACCAAAATTTGAACAGACGGAATAGCAATATTGAAAAATGTAAGAATGCACATAATAGCCGTAGTAGCAAGAATAGGCTCGCAGGACTTCGCCCCAAGAACTGCAACGGTTTAAGGTTTAGGGTTTAGGGTTTAGGGTTTAGGGTTTAGGGTTTAGGGTTTAAGGTTTAGGGTTTAGGGTTTAGGGTTTAGGGTTTAGGGTTTAGGGTTTAGGGTTTAGGGTTTAGGGTTTAGGGGTTGCCCCCTTGTTTGGGCTTCCCGAGGTTGCAAGGCCAAGTCTCCTGCGCCATGGTGGAAGGGCGGATCTGGGGTTTAGGGTTTAGGGTTTAGGGTTTAGGGTTGAAGTTTGGGGTTTGGGGTTAAGGGTTCAGGGTTTAGGGTTTAGAGCTCCTTGTGCACCTCATGCAGGGATGGGACTGAAAATGCGCATTGCTCCTTACCCCCCATATCCAGGCACAAAACCCGCTACACCACCGCCCCCCCCCCCCCCTCCTGACAGTAAGGGCCTATCTCCGAACTGATGCAGTCCTGAGAACAACGGCTCCCTTTTGCATGTGTGGGGGTCTCCGAAAGCAGGGTTATAGGGTTTGGGGTGCCTTTTTTGGCCAAAGCTCGACATGTAGTCGACTTGTAAGCCCCAGGCATGAGGAGAGGCCCTGGTCAAGATGAGGTGCGTCAAGACTCTGAAATGTAAGTTTGGACAGCAGCCTCGTCATCAGCTGCACTTGCAGCTCCCACATCCCACGCCCCAAACACCACCCTAGAGGCTCTGTGCGGGGATGCGACACTGGATCCAGTGGAGCCGGGAAGCGTTGCCCCCATTTCCCCACTTAGCCCCCCCTAGACCCTAGACCCTAAACCCTCAACCCCAAACCCTAAACCCTAAAACCTAAAACCCTAAACCGCAAACCCCAAACCCCAACCCCCCCTCCCCCTAACACAACCTCCCCATCCATCCTACCATCCCCGTCCCCGCACATGAAGAAACATCCCGGGACCTCGACTGCGCAAGCCTCTTAGGGTTCAGGGCTTTGTAGGGCTTAGGGCTTCGGGTTTAGACCTTATAAGGGCTTAGGGTTTGTAGGGTAATCCCCTAACCTCACATCGTGGTCCCTCAGAGGTGCTTATGCAGAGAGCATTCTAGAGCATCGTTTGGGGGGGGAGTTCTAAACCCTACCAGAAGCCCTACTTGAGCCCAAAGCAAGATGCATGTCGCCGCAGCCTGCAAGAGTAATTCGAAAGCAAAGCTTGAACGCAAAAGTGAGTTGGCAGAGCAGGCCGCCCAACTCAGCAGAGACGATCACAAGTGCCAGTAGCAACAGGAAGATGATAGCAACAAAAGAAAAGTAAGAAAACATAAGAAGAATAAAGAAAATTGAAAAGATAGAATAAAACTACGAAATAGATGCTTTATAGGGCTTAGTGCCAGAACTGCAGATCTCGACCTCGGGGAGCCTCCCAAGGTTGGGTCCTTGAGGAAGGCCGGAGGCCCCTCCCCCCCCCCCCCTTTTCGGGTACCAAGGGTGCCCAAGGCCAAAGTCGTGCCACCCATGGTGGAAGGCCGGATCTGGGGTTTAGGGTTTAGGGTTTAGGGTTTAGGGTTTAGGGTTTAGGGTTTAGGGTTTAGGGTCATGACCTGACTCCTGCCACTCAAACAGGGATATGATCGAAGATGCCTGCTACTGAAGTTGCTTTTGCACCCCACATCCGCACAAACCCCTATAGCAAAGCCAAAAGACTTTGCAGATTGACCTGCCCAAAGTTTAGTCTGTACCCGCCAATCGCGACCTCATTAGCTGAGGGCCCATCTCCAAACTCAAGGATGTGTGGGGGGGTTTCCGACAACAGTGTTGTACTTCTTGAGAGGGGCGAGACTTGGAGGTTCATGGTACTTGTTAACCAATTAGAACTGTACTTATAACCATATTGGGGTACTTAAGGGCTTCTAAGTGGGTTATAAGTGCAGTTTTAATTGGTTCATATGTACCACGAACCTCCAAGTAGAGCGTGCCCTATGTTGAGAGATACACACGTTGGCCAAACCTCGACATGTAGTCGACTTGAAAGGCCTCGAACAAAATCATTCATCCCAGTCGGGGTGTTCGAGGGGTTTGGGGTTTAGGGTTTAGGGCTTAGGGTTTAGGGTTTAGGGTTTAGGAATGCTTGGCAGCCTTCTCCCCCTCGCCCGCCCACCATCTTTCTACTTTGGCGTTGGGGCCTGGTAGACATGACTTCCGAGCAAGGCCCTGGTTAAGATGAGGCGCTTCAAGGTTCTGCAACATAACTGTGGAGCCTCCTCAGCCTGTCAGCAGCTTCACCTGAGCTCATAGTATAAACACTATAAAGCCAAAGTAAGACGTGCACCCGACCGAAACCTAAGCCCACAAACTCACACAACTTCACCCAGGAACAGTTACGGAACGAGCCCCCCCCCCCTTGATAAAGCCTTCAGGCGGCTTCACCCCGACTGCTGCATGGGACACCGTCACTGCGGAGGCCTAAAGGGAGGTTTAGGGTTTGGGGTTTAGGGTTTAGGTTTGGGGACTGACAGGGCTCAGGCCAGTTGAACATCCTTCGAACATCTTCAAACACCTCACGCGTTATCATACGTGTACATCTCTCTTTACCGATTGTTGTGCATACTTGTGTTTGCATTCATAGTTTAGAGTTTACTATTTAGAGATTTTCTTTCGGTTCTGTTCTTCTTTTTTCTCAGTTCCTCAACTCCTCAACGCTCTGATCGTTTTTCCCCGAAACTTTTCTCCGCTGGACAGATGGAGCGGCTCGCAGCCAGGGCCGGTCAGAACTCCCTCGAGGAGACTCTTGAACTCTTGAGAAGTCCTCGTCCGAGTAGAGCAGGAAACGGTTTAGGGTTTAGGGTTTAGGGTTTAGGGTTTAGGGTTTAGGGTTTAGGGTTTAGGAAATCTTTCTTAACCTCCTTGGGGTAATGGAATCCCCTGATATTCCCAAAGGTGAATACCTGTATTTCCCCCAGGTTACTGGACAACTGAGTCGTACGAGGGGGGAAAGGGCGGGCCGTGGAGCTGCAGGATCTGTTGATTGGTGAATTTCCTAAATTGAAACTCAAACAGAAAGGCCCCCCCCCGGGGACAAACAACAACAGTAGCAACTACACCGTAAACCCTAAACCCGAACCCCCTGGTCCTGGGACAGCCATGGAGGCTGTAGCGAAAGCACTTCGGAATGGAGCGACAGTTCGTGAAAGACTAGAGCCCGAGTTGCAACTCGAGTTTACTGCCCGACCGAGCAGAGCAGGACTTCGCGTTGCACCGAGCGCGCGAAGCGCTGGAGCAGCTGAGGCTGGCTCAACGTCACAAGGGGGTGAGGGGGTGGGTGGTTGAGGGTTTAGGGTTCAGGGCTCAGGGTTTAGGGCTTAGAGCTTAGGGTTTAGGGGAGGGCAGTTCAGGGTCTGAAGAAGGCATTTTCCCACATCTGCCGGCCGATTGCCACGTCGGTGAAGAGTTGTTCTCGTTGCTCTATCGTCTGCAAGCTGCCACGGCATGCTCCATAGCGTTTTCACCGGCGCTTTTTGGCATTGATGGAGGCTGTGGTGTTGCAAGCAGGCGCATTAGCGGCATAGCGGCAACGCTGGATGCAAAGAGCGGACCCATCAAACAAGCGCCGTCTTTGACTGCGGCCCATGTCCTCGCGTTGGAACAGGCTGCTGCACAAGCGGCTAGTCCACAGGATCGGCTTTGGGCAGGATCGCTCCTGATTGCCCCTAAACCCTAAACCCTAAACCCTAAACCCGCTACCCGCGATGTCGTTTTGGATGGACAACGTGCCACGTCATTGGTCGTGGATCTGGCGCCTGGCTCCTCGTCCAAGCGTTTCACCGAGTTGACCGTAAGTCATTACAAGACTCGACGCTTCATACTGAAACCCTGCCCCTTGGGTGCCCTAGCCCTAAACCCTAAACCCTAAACCCTTGAAACCGCAGAGGCGCCAGACAGCACCGGAGCCAGCGGAAGCTCGAGACTCGGAACCTGACAGCGTATCATCAGGCACATAGGGGCCCAAGAGGCTCGTCAAGGCAGCCAGGGCATCCCCAGAAGCCCACGGTTTAGGGTTTAGGGTTTAGGGTTTAGGGTTTAGGGTTTAGGGTGTGTATGTGGGCTCCTATGCATTTGGCTGGCACCTGGTTCTTATGTTGAGGGGGGAGGGGGTGGGGGAGGGTGGGCATTATGACCATAAGTCCCAACCTTGAACCCACCCACGATCTTTCAGAAGCACCGGCGACAAGAACCAGAGAGCACCTGAGGCCCCCCCCCGGTCCTTGTCTGAACCACCGGGGCGTGCTGAGGCCAGCGCCAAGGCAGCGCTGAGGCCACCCAGGGGTTTGGGGTTTCGGGTTTAGGGTTTAGGGTTTGGGGTTTAGGGTTTGGGGTTTCGGGTTTGGGGTTTCGGGCTTGGGGTTTAGGGTTTGGGGTTTGGGGTTTAGGGTTTAGGGTTTAGGGTTTGGACTGTGAGCACACTTCTGGGATGCTCAGCAAGGGAACTCTTCTTCCCGTTTAAGGATAAGTTGGCATGTAAACCCCCTTTTGTGATTTTTAGGCTTCTGGGGGCAACCTAGACTACCTCGGCAACACGTCACTCACCTGCAACGCGTTAAATTTTAAGAACTACCTGGGACTCTCTGTACCTACAGTTTAGTAGTAACTACCCTTAATTAGCAGGTATAACCCATAAAGCAGTAGGCAAGGTCCCAGGCAGACTCCCTTTTGGGAAACCTGGCCCAGGGCGCAAGTCGCCATGGAGCGCAAGCGGCACGAAGCGTTGCAGGACCAGCCCGACCCCCCCAAGGGGGTCCCCAAGGGCATCCCCCATATAAACCCCTTAAACCTCAGCAGGCGAAGCCACCGTTCGGTCTGAGCGTTATAAGTTTGGGGATACAACAAAGCCTCGTGTGGCGCAGACAGTCTTTGTGGCGTGTGGATCCTTGTTCCTTGTCTGGAAGGTGCCCTTTGCGTGCGGTTACTTCGACTGGTCCTTGCACATTGGTCCCAAAGCTCAAGACAACCCAGCGAGATCCCCCCCTGAAACCCTAAACCCCAGCAAAATCCCCCTAAACCCAGAAACCCTAAACCCCAGAAAGCCTAAACCCGAAACCCCCATACCAGCACCCTAAACCCCGAAAGCCTAAACCCGAAACCCCCATACCAGCAGTTCTCCTGGACCAGGAGAGGATCGATGAGGCTAAGAGTCAGGCTAAAACGGCCGAGGAGAATCGCTGGGAACTCAGGATTCACGGCCTTTCGGTGATAATACATATGTATATATGCATACATAGATATGTTATGCAAATTGAAAAAGAAGTACATAAACATGTGTATATATATATACACATACATACATATGTATATAAAAGCACAGGGCTGGATGGGAGTCGAAGCAATTGAAGGAGCGCCAAGGATCCCGGGTTTGCACAGCGAGCTTTGCACTGGGACATGTCCTGCGTCCCCAGAAGCCTTTGCCAACCCAAGCTTAGGGTTTGGGGTTTAGGGTGTAGGGTTTAGGGTTTGGGTTTAGGGTTTCGCGTTTAGGGTTTAGGGTTTTAGGGTTTAGGGTTTAGGGTGTAGGGTTTAGGGTTTGGGTTTGGGTCAAGTACGAATGTGCCGGTATCTCGCGTCCTGGATTTGAAACTCCAGACACCTACATTCGCTCGATGTGATATCCGACAGCCGGGGAAGCTGGTACTCTTGCACCAAATCCCAGGGTTTAGGGTTTAGGGTTTAGGGTTTAGGATTAGGGTTTAGGGTAGCAAGCAGTGTCGTGGCTGTTGCACGTGCTCCCAAAGCTCAGGGGCCATGCTCCAAGCCGAACTCGAGGAGGCCCACCGGGGGAGGGAAACCCTAAACCCTAAACCCTAAACCCTAAACCCTAAACCCTAAACCCTAAACCCTAAACCCTAAACCCTAAACCCTAAACCCTAAACCCTAAACCCTAAACCCTAAACCCTAAACCCTATCCCATCCCTGCTGAGAAGCTTATCGACCTTCAACCTGCGCCTTGGGAGCCCTCCACCCCCAGGGAATGAGGGAATGAGGGTCCCTAAACCCTAAACCCTAAACCCTAAACCCTGCATATACCCTGTAGGGGATTATGTTTAGGGCGCTTACTCCCTCATTCCCTAAGAGTCTAAAGCCACCAGGTCAGCCGCAAGGTGTCGCAGAACGTGCTGGACTCACCTCGAAAGCTCGGCGCTGGGACTTTTCGGTTGGGGGGGTTCTTATACTACAATACCCCCGCCCCCTGCCCAAAAAAAAAAATCAATGAAATAAAGAAACTTGGGATCTTTCGGTTGGAGGGAAAAACTTGGGCCCCAAAACGCTCCATTGCTGGGATCTTGGCTCGCGAAAGGTGGGGGGGCTTTCCGGTTTGGTGGGTCTTTTGCGAACTCGGAATTGCAAAGGGGTTTGAATGGAATCTTGGAGACTTGTAGCGCCGGGGGGAAATTCGGGGCCGAAAAACCCTGAGCCCTAGACCCTTGAAATCTTGGATCACGAGTTGAAATCACACATGTTGTCCTTCCTCTTTCCACATGGAATGGCACGGGTAGCCCAATGGTACTATTTTGCCCTTTTTTTGGTTCTAGGTTCCCTTTTCAGGTAAACAGCCCCCAAAAGGGTACCCTCATTGTAATATGCTTACCAGTTCGCCTGAGCTACTATTTGCTTAAGAACCCCCTAAAGAATTACAATAACAATCCCTATATTACTCTTGTCTTCCAATTTTTGGAGGTGGTTCTTAAGCAATTGGTAGCTTACTGGGCTACCTAGAACATGTGTGTCGCAGTATCCTGGCCCGAATCAGGCAGGCGGCCGCCGATCGCCACGCTCCCAGTCAACAAAAGCAGGGCAGCATGTCTTTTACTATTTCCTTAAGAACCCCCCCCCCCCCCCCAAAGAAAAAAAACAGATAAGGGTGCCACGTAACTTAGGGATTATGTGTTTTTTTTGTTGGGGGGGGGGGGTTCTTAGGCAAACAGTAGTCTTGGTCAGAGAGATGTCCTCGGGAGCCCTAATGCCCCAATTGAGTGACACACTTTCAAGCGACAACAGGGATGCTTTTTCTAGCTTTCTCGGTTTTTCAGGCAACAAAGCATATCACTGAGCAATGAGGTGCGTGCTTCTTGCCGCATGATGGTGACAGTTTTCTATGCCAAGTTTGAGTCCGCTTCTTTCTCGTTCGCAGGCGTTTCGTCAGCAAGCAAGCTGTCAAGGTTCCACTACAAGTTCAGATAGAACAGAAAATCGAGGTCACAAGATAGGACATATTCGGAGATCGAGTTGCTCATGCAGCTTCCTTGACCATCCTGCGATGGGGGGGCGATCGACTCTGTGACAATTCCCCCGCCCCGCCCGTGTCTCAATGTACCCCAACAACTTCGGCCACCTGTGTGTGCCCTTGTGCTAGCGCATGTTCATTTGGCGCTGCCCGCCTTGCTGAGCCATGGTGGCCTCGAAGGGATTTGAAGACTTGCCTTTGGACGCCACTAGACTGGCAAGAAGCATGACGGGGATGCTAGTCGAGTGCCCCCCGGAAAGCCCGAAAGCCCCTCTCCCTGCAAACAAACGCACAGCAGGTAACCATCCGCTGTGTCGCTGTGCTGCCCATTGCAGATGCGCCACAGTTTCGAAGAGCTCCATGGTGGCAGTCTAGGTTTCCTCTTGTGGCGAACGAACTTCAGAAGCAGTGAAATAACTCAGTGCCCTCACGAGTTTTTTCCGCAAATTGCAGTAGCCTGTAATCTACGGACAACTTCTCTTAATTTAGGGCTCCTAAGAGTCTCTAGGTAGGTTTCAGAGTGTGGAGTGCCGCAGCTTCGGTACAAAGCCTCCAGAAACAAAAAGAAACATGGTCTCATGGGCAGGCAACTGCCAGTGCAAGTAGGACAGTTGGGCCGCCCCTGACTTCTCCCACGTCTTGCGCTTGAACCTTTCAACCTCAAGGTGTTGCCTCAAACCTCGCGACACTAGAAGTTCTACAGTTCACCAAGGTCTTCCGTTACTTTTTATTGCGGGGAGACCTCGATGCCTTGCGCCGTTTTAAAGGGGGATGCTCAGGTCTGCCGGCGGTTGAGTTTGCTATGTGGTATGGAGCAGCTTGGCCGGAGACCTTGCTCTTAAGATCTATTCTTCCGCTGCCCTGCTCAACTGCTGCAGTTCTGCTCCCCCTACCTGTGCACACTGTGGAGGCTACTACCTCGGGGTTGTTTGGTTTCTTCATATATGCCTGGAAGCATTCAAGAACAAGGGCGAATGCAAATGGACGCCTCACAGCCATAAACCCAAGAGTCCCTTTATAACCTTGGCGTTTGCTTTTATCAGCTTACGAGCTCATCAAAAATGGAGTATCACGAACATTTATGCCCAGGACCCTCCTGGACTCTGAAATCTTGACCCTAAACCCTAAACCCTAAACCCTAAACCCTAAACCCTAAACCCTAAGCCTCTGGCGAAGCCCTTTGAATCTCTCGACTTGACGCCCCCAGCTACAAGCACCTCCCCGCCACCCACGACCGCCTGTCTTTGTTCCAAATTTGGGGGTTTACGCAAACAAGGGACCCCTAATATTTTAGCCAAGTCACTCTCAGCCCCACGGGGCTTTCGAGAACAATGTTGCAACAAGGGACCCCTAATAACCTAATATAGACTCCCAAATAGTAGGACCCCCTTATAAAAACGACCCCCCTATTAACGTAAACACTCGTTTCTCTGTCAGCTTCTCGCGGACGCGCGCACGCCTCGGCGTCCGCGAGCTCCGACTGGTGGGCGGCGTGGCTGGCCACTTGGCTTGCTGGGGATTTCGTGTTAAACGAAGGGGGTTGCCAGCGTTTTAAGGGTTTAGGGGTTCAAGTTCCGAGCTCGAGCAACCACTATCCAGGACGACATGCAATGGAACTATCCAAGAAAAATGGGAAAGTATTCTTCCTAATTACAATTCAAACAAAAACTACGTTTTCGCTTTTTTAATGGGAAGACATTCTTCCGACTACAACTCAAAAACACTAGGGTTTCACCTTATTTTCGTAGTCATCACAGAAGTTGCCCGAGGAGACCCACGAGCGCTTCGGAAAGGAGGACAGGCGAGGCTCTCCCATTCGCTCCCATTCTCTCGGGGGGGAAGAGTCGGTTTTTGGGGGCTTTCCGAAAATAGGGGGATATAATCTGGATTGTAGCAAATTATGGGTACACTAGAAGTACCACTATTTTGGGAAATCACCCGCCCAAACTTGCAGAACCAGAAAAAAGAGAGCCGCACACTGCAAACAGCCAGAAAACCCTCAACATTTTCGTAAGCTCCCAAGAGTCGTTGGAGCTGCCCGCCGCCGTCTGCGGCAGGGCTTCTCTCCCAGCAAGGAGCTGGAAAGCGTTTCAAAACTTGGAAACTAGCTTGGGATGTTCCCCTTAATATAGTACCCCCTTCTTATAATCCCACTTAAGGACTGGTAGTCTTAAGGGGGAACATCCCAAACAAACTAGCACAAGGCTCACAAAGCTGCTTCAATGCAGTCGCTAGCTCTCATGATGCTAGCCCTAAACCCTAGCCCTGAACCCTAAACCCTAAACCCTAAACCCACAAGCCCCCGCAGGCCACCCGCCTCACCATGGAGCTCCAGCCTCAAGCCACCTCGGCCGTCAAGGCTCCGGAATAAGGGGGAGCCAGCCTTCGACTAGGACTCCTTAAGTAGATTTGCCTATTAGGGACTGCTAGTAGAAGAAGGAACATCCCAAGGAGTTAGGGTCTCGGGTTATGATGGAGCATTTGCCCCCGCAGCCGCGGAAGATCTCATGAGGCGCCCGCACAGCCCCAGGGTGTGGGGTCACAACGGCGAGCCGAGATTCAGAGGGTCTGGCTTACTCCCCACCAGGGCTTCAGGGGGCCTGGCGGCTCAATTGTTGGGTTTGCAAGACAGCTGGCAAAACCCAGCGAACGACCAAGAACTGTCGGGACATGGGTTTGGAGGGGAACCCCAAACCCTAAACCCCTAAAACCTCCCCGCCGCCTTGGGAAGAGGACAGAAAATCAGGGTTGGGGCGCTTTTGTAGGAGGCCACCTGCGGGAGGCTTGCGGAATGCTAACCGCGATCCAGCTAGCCGCTTGTTGTCCAATCTCAGAAGCCACACAGTCAAAAGCCAAGCTTTCAAAACGCAACAAGCTGATTCTCAAGCGAGAAGGAGGCAGGAAAGAAGAGAGTCGAAGCAAGTGCGCCCCAGGATCTTCTAAGAATCCAGGGCCCTGAGCTGGAAGCTGTCATCGAGGGCGTAGACAGAGCTGCCTCCTCGCTGGAGGCACAAGCGCCGTGGCGGCTTTTCAAGTTCAGGGTTTCGGGCTTCTGGAGGGGCACTATCCCTAGACCCCAAACCCTTTTGGGGGCACTTCACATGTACATATCTATCTATATATATATATAACATATTATTTCTTGTCTTTTTTGTTTTTCCCCAAACAGGAACCGTTTGGGGTCCTCTCCTCAGAAAAAAAGTGTCACACGCTTGGCCAGATGGGTGTCACGCGCTTCGGGCCTGTGGTCTCCCATGGTCTCCCATGGTCTCCGATCATGAACACAATTGGGGCCATTGGGGTCGGGTGGGTGTCACGCGCTTCGGGGCCTGTGGTCTCCCATGGTCTCCGATGATGAGCGCAATTGGGGCCATTGGGGCCGGGTGGGCGCTCGGCCTGCGGTCCCATGGTGTCGTCTTTCATGGTCTCCGATTATGAGCGAAATTGGGGGCATTGGGGCCGGGCGGGTGTCACGCGCTCGGGCCTGTGCTCTCCCACACAGTCTCCGATCAGAGCGCTATTGGGGCCAATTGGGGCCGGCGGGTGTCACGCGCTTCGGGGACTGTGGTCTCCCACGGTCTCCGATCATGAGCACAATTGGGGCCATTGGGGCCGGGTGGGTGTCGCTCTCGCATGGTCTCCGATCTTCGGGCGGGTGTCGCGCGCTTCGGCCCATGGTCTCCGATCATGAGCGCAATTGGCCGGGTGGGTGTCACGCGCTTCGGGCCTGTGGTCGCCCATGGTCTCCGATCATGAGCCAGGCGGGTGTCACGCGCTCGGGCCTGTGGTCGCGGGCGGGTGTCAAGCGTTTCGGGCCTGCGGTCTCCCATGGTCTCCAATCATGAGCACAATTGGGGCCAACATGAGCCGGGTGGGTGTCACGGGCCTTTGGTCTCCCATGGTCTCCGATCACGAGCACAATTGGCGGGCCTGCGGTCTCCGATCATGAGCACAATTGGGACCATTGGGGCCTTGTGGGTGTCACGCGCTTCGGGCCTGTGATTTTTCCCCAAAAAGGAACTGTTTGGGGCGCTCTCCTCAGAAAAAGTGCCACGCGATTGGCTAGACGGGTGGCACGCGCTTGGGTACGTGGTCTCCCATGGTCTCCTCATGAGCGCAATGGGGCCGGGTGGGTGTCACGCGGTCCATCGTCTCGCATGGTCTCATGGCCTCCCGATCATGAGCGCACTGGGGCTGGGCGGGTGTCACGCGGTTCGGGTCCGTGCTCTCCATCGTCTCTAGATGCTTGGGTCCATGGACTCCCATGATCTCCCAGCGAGCGCAATCTGCGGGTGTCACGCAGTCCGGGTTCATGCTCTCCCATGGTCCGATCATGGGGATGGCGGGTCACGCGGGCCGGCTCCGTGATCTTCATGGTCTCCGATCATGAGCGACAGGGGTTGGGAGGGTGTCGCGCGCTTGGGTGAGTGGATTTCCGTCATCTCGGATCATGAGCGCAATGGGGCTGGGCGGGTGTCACGCGGTTCTCCCATGGACTCCATCATGAGCAACAAGCTTGGGAGGGTGTCACGCGCTGGGTTCG